AGACCTAATCTAGATGAGAACAGAAATGAAGACCATCCTGATATATTTATGGAGAGATCTGAGAAATGGATACTAATATTAACCAAAGGACCAAGATATCAAGGAGGTAACAGTATTTCAGAGATAAAAGCAGATATTCAACAGCAAGTGTAAATAAAGATCCTGTGTTGGAGTGAGTATGAGTGTGGCTGGATCCTGGTGTTGGGGAGTGTGGGACATCTGACACAATCGTGTGGGGCGGGAAAGACTCAGAAAAGAGAGGGATTGGGGACTATGAAAAGACTTGTTATCCTTGGGTCACTTTCTAATCAAAATGACCTGGGACAGAAAGAAACCTACCGTTTCTCCTCTTTAAGTCAACTGGAGATGCCAGAGAAAAGGTTACCTGAGGCTGTAGACTATTGCTATAAATACTGAAGAAAGAAAGCTCTTTTAAAAAAATATGGGAAGTGAAATTTCTAATTTTAAGATAAAGTTAATTGTACTCATTTAAACATTTAGTAAAACAATTTAGATTATGAAAGCATCTGCAATTTATCAATAGCTGCAGACCGGGTGGTAAGAAAGGTGATAATAAATGTTGACTTAGATACCAGATATGTGTATCACACACACACACACACACATTCCAACATATACACATTCAGATTTAATGATCTATTGGGGAAAGGTCTTGCATGTTCACACTGGTTTTGGTTTGATTGAGATTTTTGACATAATTTCAGATCTAAACATTGTCTGAAAGTAATCTGAAAGATTGATGCATATTCCTTATCTAGATTTCTAAATGTCAAGCTGTTAAAACAGTGTCATAGAATTTAGTGATCTACCAGAAAAGAATTCAAAATAGCCACCCTGGAGACAAGAAACTGTAGGAAAACACTGATTCACAACTGATAAAACTCAGAAAGAAATTTAGGAAGGGATTGAAATTTAAGAAGCAGAGACTGAAAGTATATTTGAAAAGCAGGACCAGAGATTCTCTACCCTCCTGCTAATTCCTGGACAGGCAGGACTTCCATAGCTAGTTTAACCACTCAACGATCTGATCTTTAAAATCAGATATATTCCTGAAGGCATAAATGGGAATAAACTTCCAAGCATCATAAAAATCAATATATAAGAGCAAACTGCATACACATTGGAAGAAAACTGAAACATTTCTCTGTGATATGGAAAAACAATTTAAACAAACACACCAATCAGGCATAGCATAAAGCACCAAAAGCTGTCAACATACACAGGAAAACTGGAAGAACTATTTCCAAAATGTTAAATACAAAATAATAAAAACTTTAATGCACAAACAATGATTAAAAATTGAGACAAAAAACAAAAAATTGTTTAAAAAAATGGTGAAAATACTGTGAAAGTGAAATCCTCCAAGTAGATATCCTCATGACTCTTCCTCTTACCTTCATCGCTCCTTCCCTTCCTCCCTTCCTATCCAATTGACAGTTTTTTTTTTTTAAGATTTATTTATTTATTTGTGCATACAGAACTGGGGTACAGGCCAGAGGCTCAGGGGCGGTGAGAGGCTTCACCAGAGAGAGAGT